AGAGGCGAAGAAAAAAGAAGAGCAGACTCTACGAGACATTTTGAAATAAAGGCTACCCGAGGAATTTCATATGATGGTGCTTACGAAACCACAACCAAGCTGATTCGTCAACACAACTGGAACAGAGAAACATACGCTGCCGTGTATCAGAAACAACGTGGAGATGACTGCACGACATCTACGGCAACATGGAATTACGGTCGCCTTCAAGCCTGCAAACACTTTGAAAAGAACTCTCTCGAAACCAAAGGGAGGGCTAGATACACTATATCGAGGCTGGAAAATTCGCTCGTGCTCGGTCTATTCCACCAAAACACGTTCAAAAGATTGAACGATTACATCAGACAATCTATTCGTAGCTGGTTACGTCTACCTATGGACAACTCGATCAGCCAAATCCGGTAAACAGGAAAATTCGCTCGTGCTCGGTCTATTCCACCAAAACACGTTCAAAAGATTGAACGATTACATCAGACAATCTATTCGTAGCTGGTTACGTCTACCTATGGACAACTCGATCAGCCAAATCCATGCCGGTAAACAACATGGGGGACTTGATAAGTGCAACAATCCCGATGCAGCGGAGAGCGTGTGTGGAAAAGCTCCTTTCTACTCACTGTCAGTTATTACGCAATGCGATCAACGATTCCGCATTTGGCAAGATTGTTCGGGATCTCAGCCTCCAGATTCGAGTCTATGGTGCATTCGTAATCACAAAGGAACAGCTGGTGGCTGCTTGAGGTGATAGTCTGCACAACAGCATTGACGGTCGAGGTTTACGAGAGTTGATCGCTTCGCCTCTTCCTGCTTGATGGCTTGTATTTCCAGAGCAAGCGTTTTCTCGGGTATTTATTTGTCCGCAGTATTCGGCTTCAATGCAACCTGCTCAGGACGAATGTTAGAAGCCCGCGGCATGATCATGATGGCTGGAAGATCTTCTGTTGTGGAAACTGTGGCCAACCGGAGATTTTGGTGCATATTCTGCTGTCCTGCTGACTCACGCATGACGCTAGGTGCGCTCGTCATAGTAGGGTTGCAAGGGAGCTCGCAAAACGTCACCATCGCCTGGGATACACCATCTTAGAGGAGCTGAGAGCACCTAATTCGACGTCATTTGTCAAACCTGACCTAAGAGCTGTGGAGCAACTGTGATAAACATCGGCATAATCTCGGATGGGCGCAGGGTGACTGTGTAGAATGAGAAGAAGCAGAAGCATGATGCTGATGAATATTATCTCGACATAATCTCAGCCCTACGTGCAGTCGGTTGTGTTGTTGACTTTTGGTTCACCGGCCGATGATAATTCCTTATCGAAGGATTTACTTTCCTCAATCCGCCAAGGCTGTTATAGGACTGTGACTCTCTAAGGTCACAGTGACTTGCGTTTTCTTGCCATTGTGGGCTATCTGCGTAATCACGACACTTTTATGCGTGGTGCATGGCACCGAGTGTACACTGCTGCCATTGAATCTCATATCAGACTCAGTATGACGGACACTTTGTGCCTGATGTGCGAGTCTTGACTGTGCTAGCGCTTACCGCGCTTTGAAGAGCATTCAGCGTTGTTGGCCCTTTCCATGTTTGTGGGTCTGTACACGATTGTTACCATACCAAACATTCTTACATACGTTGGGATTCATCTTGTCTGACTGGAACTGTTGGAGGCATGACTTCGAATGAGACGTTTCTCCCTTTTATCTCATATTCTGTGACCCTAGCACATTCACCGCCTGCATTTACTTTTTATGACTGTGACCATGCTCTTCAAAAGTAGACGATAGTGAGATGCACTATTTATTGCCTTATTACACCTAGTTGCATTCTGTTTACAACTTTTCAAGTTCACATTGTTACCCGGTATTCATCGTAAATTATCGAAGCCATACGTTCGCAAACCTTATTTTGATTTAAATGGTAAAATTTAAACAACGAAAATGAGATTACATCTCCCTGAAGTGATTTGGTTTGATTATGAAGATCGTTTGATAATAATTCAACTAAAATCACCGTATTGCGAGACTCATTCTGATCGATGGATTGGCACTCGGAATGGAAACACTGTGACCATCTATGTTACGCCTCAAAATGCGAAATCTTGCTTCGCCTCACCAGGCGAAAACTGAAGTGTCCTCTGAAGTTATTCTGGAGGCCTTTTTCTGCTCTGCTCTGAGGGTCCACTAGGTAACTGTAGATCTTTTGCCGGAACGTTTCGCATAGTCGCAATCCCGCAGTTAGCCGGTCAGGTTACTCAGATTCGTGGTTTTGCTATGCATTTATAGCAGCGGTGATTTCGCACTCCCCTACAGTGGAGCGGACAGACTAGTTGAACGGAAGTGAGCACACATTCCGAGGTTATTGTCCGGATAAAGAATACAGCATGAATGGATTGATCAGGACCACATCGCCCGGCATTCAGTTATCGGGTATCGCCGGGAACACCCCACTAGTCCGGAAAGCATTGAACATGTCGACCCAGCCGGAGATTCAGGGCACTGCTCTTCTGAAGCTGAAGGTTATTTGGCTGATGAGAAACAGGACATGGTCGCTCTGTTTCAGTGACCAATAAATGTCCAAGTTTAGATAGATTTACACCCATTCAACCCTGAGCATATTGGCCTGTTCAGACATCATAGTTCAGAGATATCCAGCGTGCATCCGTAAGGCCAAGGAAAGAGACACCCGATAAACTCTAATAAGAGCGAAACTCCAGTCCAATCGCATATTTGGTTTGAATCCAACAAAGTAATTGGTAGGGAAGTAGAACGGTTAGAAAGTGCGAGGGGGTTGTGAGTGCAAATTTGGTAGCTATCACCGTGTATTGCTAGTTCGGTATTAATATATACGTTCCTAACGTATAACTGTTTGCCACCATACTAGCTGCTGACAGTTAGAATCACTCATCTGCTCAGACTATCTGAAGTAATTTCCGAAGTTCACTGTGGTGGATAAGCTAAAAGTGAGGCCATTTATTCTTTACTTAACTGTTTTTGGCTTACCCTGTACATTTTATTCACGGTCTTCCCTATAAAGGCCAACTTTAGATTCCTGTCGAAATAGATTGAAATCACGTAGTAAATTGTGCTCCGGACAAAGATACCCTACTTGTGCAGTGGCTATGTGCAGTGGCTTAAAACATAAATTAGGCAGATAATCATGAAATGGTTCACTGTACTGCCGGATGTCCCCTGAGCAATAAATTATTTTTCTCATGCCTCCTTAAGTCGTGTGTCCAATGCGGATGTATTCTAAGGATTCGCATTGCTTAGTCACGCTATCCTCAATTACTGTTCATCAACTGACTAGGACAATAATGCGACGATGTGTGGGTCATCGCACCTCTTTCACTATCTCTGCAGCGTATCATCCGGAAGCCAACTATGTCGGCTTACTTGCATGCAGTGGTCCGTATGCAGATTGTTGGACGGGTCACGATACCGTCAACCGAATACTCACACAAAGCCTATCTATGTCATTTTCGTCACGTCTGTTTAGACTGTGTAGATGTACACGTAGCGCATAGGTTACAGCTGTATTGAGACTGATTAGGTAAGGTTAGGGGAGCACGAACCAAAGACTGTGGTAGGCGGCAATGGGTAGAAGTACCAAGAACTATATTGGGCATATCAAGTAGTCAGATTTCAAGTACTTCAGCTGCTGATCTTAGTCTTATAAGTCTTATAAGTATACCGAGAAACGACCTGAAAAACTGCGTTTTCCAGGGTACGACTCGTAGGACCAGCTGCAGCATCACAATCTACTGACTTTTTGCCTGTCATGACTGCCCACAGCTAGATCCAAGGTGCGGTTATCAGCTGTCGACGTCGTCGGAAATCAACGTCACAATGTCTTTGAGAAAGAGACCAGCTGTCGCTGAGTAGCCGAAATAATATAAGAGCAAGGTTGCTTGTTCCCTCAGGTTACCGCGTGGTTAAGTCTGTTTGCAGTGGAAATCTTCGGAAGAGAAAATGGATCTGGGAACCAAGGATATAATTTGCTTATTCGGCTACCCTACTGAGGGGTCATTTATTCATCCGGGCCTAAACACGTGAAAGGCAAACGGCACGTGGGGCTAGTGTTTTTGTATCGCAGATTTCCGACAAACTGCAGTAGCAAACAGGCTTCCTCCCATTAAATTGTGGATATGTTGTTATACCACATTTCACTATCTCAAGCAGAGCTACCAGGCTGGTGGAGATTCTGGGGAAACAGCTTCATTCGTTCCTTTTAGGTCCAATCCGTCCGCGCTGGCGACTATTCACTATTTACACACCACCAGGTGTCGTTACGCGCTCTATGCTGTCACCAGTTCTACCATGTTGGCACTGGAAAGCGTGAAAAATTCCTCCGCCTGCGCCGTCAATCATTGCAAAGTAAATATTATGCCTCACCACTGAGCTTCTGAAATCTTTAAATTTTTTCCTTGTTTAGTATCGTGCACACGCAGCAGTTACCGAGTATTCAACTGACATTTCACAATCAGACGCATTTTATGGTGCTCGTGTTTTTTTGCTTGCGTTCACCAGCGCTGATATACAATTCTCCAAAACTCGATCGACCTTGGCCTAATGAAATCTTTGTATGAAAAAACGAAATTATTGTAGCCGTACATTCAAAAACTCTTTTGAAGAGACGATACCTCAACTGGTTACAAGCTGCCCCAGATTACTGGATTACTGGAAATCAAAGTGAAATTCATTGACGTCGATGAAACGGACGAAACAGTTGGCTGATATATAATAACAGCAAGTTCAAAGATCTTACCAAAGCCTAATGTAACGGTGGTTCTATGCCAGGAGTATCTTCGACTACGGCTTCGTTTTTTAATTCTGTGGTTGGGTGCTCGTGATATAAATGGGAACATTTGGGTTCATAGACTTCATCTTCGCCAAGGGAAATCCGATAATTGAAACATTGCCTGCCAACACGGTGTGAAATAGCATCTCACTAAGTGTACATTTGGTGAAGCATTTAGATTTTTAAGCCCATGGGAAGGGCTACTATGGACATCCAACGAGAACCTAGAAACGCGGCGAGGTAAGTGCAACTGAACCACCCTAGATGCGATGGTACACAGAGAAAATGCTTAAAAAATAGGCCCTATCAAAAATAAGACCAAACAAAAACACTGTTTAATGTTTCTAGAAATGATCCTTACCCAAGAAGCCAGAACGAAAAAGCTTGCTTTCGAAAACAACCAATTACTTCCGTAATGCACTACTCATAAAGCTGCTGATAATTCTTCGCAGCACATGACCGGTTTCGCTCTTCTCTGGGGCTCATCAGGTAGGCACAGTCCCTAAGTTTTCGTAAACCTTGTGTTCTACTTAAAATCAAATTGCACGAAATCAGCGAAATACACTTAGTTGCAAAAAATTTGGTTTTACGGGAGACACACCTAGAAGTCAACTGAATCTCTCGTTTGTGATGTTTCCAGGCAACCGAATGTGCTGCACCAGTCCGCCTCATGTTTCAGTCGCTACGGTATTCGAGATATTGTGATACAGGTATGTTTGTAATACACTGCTCATAATGTTGCTGAAAATTCTTCGAAACCCATGACCGGTTTCGGCCTTCTTGGGGCTCTTCAGGTAGGCGCAGTCCTCTGGAAGCATCACAAACGATAGATTCCGTTGGGTTGCAGGTGTGTCTTTCGCAGAACCAAATCTGTTTGCTAATCCATTACTTTCTTGCTGCCAAATTGTTTGGTATAATAGCTGTCGGACCGCTGCATTCTCGATAGGCTTACTCAGCTTTTTTGATCGATCTTCTGTGTGCGCGTGATATAAGCCCTTGTTCAAGGAGCGACTATCTACTTTGCGCTAGTGCTCTTGGCCTATTCACACCACGGGTAGCGGATGGTTTTGTTCATGTGTTGAATCGATTGAGATTAAAGGCACGCACGTAACTTTATGTGCGTGTTTGCAGCAGTCATTTGGATGCCACTTTTCGAGGACAAACTTGCTTGTGTGTGATTCAATAAGGTGTTTATTTGCGTGCTAGTAATTATTCCTTCATGATATCCGCTTTGAAATCTCACAAAATTTCTTCCGTCCTGGAACCGAGAACTGTCAAATTAACGGAAACTTATCGGTTCACACATAGCAGAAACGCAGTCTGCGTTTACAGGCTTGCTTCCAAGCTGTTTTTACATCTATACGTTCCCTCTTGTATTTCCCTGTGCACCGAAGTACAAATAAGATGAAAACGTTCCCACGACTGCATTCAGTCGTGAAGTGTGGATTTTCAGGGTCTCTTTTCATTTCATTGTGTAGACAGAAAACACACCGGTTGACCGATTGCTTTATTTTTTCGCAAAAGCACAGTGAGTTTCGTTTTCATTCGAATGATGGATTTTTTCCGGGTTTTCACGTGTCATGAACTCCTGTATTTCTACTGTAAGTTCCACTATACACACTTGCTAGCTGTTATCCGAGTGGGCGGGAATTTCGCCATTTGGTGCCGATGGTGATGGTCTTCCATCACGTAACTTTTTCAGAAGCATGTGGTGAGGCGAAATGAATATCTGCTCCTCGGTTTTACCACTCTCATTTTGATACTATCCGAATCAGTTGCGTAATTAATGCAAGACCATGTTGTCTTCATTGATCCGTGCAGCAGTCACTGCGTTCCTGAACATTTCGAGCATTTCATTTGGCACAGATTACCCGCATGTAGTCTGATCCACTCAACAATCGTTGACGTATATTTCATACACTGGGCGCTAGATCCAACCACCTCTGGGTTGCTGTTTCACTACTGCATCTTTTAAGCATAGTTAAAATTATTGTTTCTGTCTGAATTCGGACGAGCGGTATGCCAAATTGTCACTTGGATCTGTCAAATGTTAAATGTTCACATTCGTTCATGACGCAGCGAATTTGAGTTGAACATAAAATTGAGAGTATAAATCTAGATTGTGCTTTCTGCCTATCCTAAGAATATTTCCATCAGAGAGTACCGCAGGGCAGCAGATCTGGTTAAATTTGAGAGTAGTCATGGTAGGTGAGCGCAAGCTAACTTTGGGATAACCATTGGTTGCCGAAGGTTGGCGAGCGCAAGCGAATTTTGGAACAACCGTTGGTTGCCGAAGGTTGGTAGGAGGGGCCGATAATGTAATGGATAAAATCGGTGCTCTTAACCTCTTACCCCGGTTACAATTGGACTACTTGTTCTCACGCCATTTTGGAAGAGAATCCAGGTTAGTTCAAGTTTCTTCTACCTGCGATAACTGCTGTAACTGAATCATCCAACGATTAGAGTTAACACCCACGAGAAGTTGCGAACCTGTTAAAAACAGCTTGATGGTGCGAACGTGTGTTATGTATGCTCACATATCTGCAATCTACGGAAACGTGACTTCATCACGAGTGGAAAAAGGACGATAGCGCAATCAGTGATCTCGCACCCACCCACACTTGGCACGGTCGCCTGAATTTTTTGGTGTCAAAAATTTACACAGGTATGTTGTTATTGATCGGGCTAGGAGGAGTGAACTATAGGACAATTTCGGTCGAAACGCGTGCAGTCAGGTTATTATAGTTCTGAAATTGCGGCTTCCATGAGTATCCTTTTCTCACTCGGAATTCGAGAACCCTTCAATGCGCGTAATTTCGTTTTCAATCACACTGTTGTTCTGACAATTAGGATGAACAAATGTTGGGTTTTCATAGGCCAGCGTTAAACATACGATGCAGCGAGTCTGAAACCGACTTTAAGGGTTACCTAAGGGTTATCCTGTGTGATTAATATAGGGCGTGAGCAGTGTGGAAATGCAAGACGTCTTTTCTCTTGATGACATTTCAGAACTAGCCATGTGTTTCTGTGCTATGTTGGGGATGCAAGGGACCCATCTACTTACACAGAATTAGATCAAATCTAGTTTTCGTAAGTATCTTCGTCCTGCCCAACTCAGGATATACACATTTGACATGATTCTTCCCCAAACACGAATGAGCATTAACTCTTTGAATGATGACGAGTATCAGCAAGCGCTCCAAATTCCTCAGAACGTCCCGTCCTGGTGTCTTCTCACGTTGTAGTAGGTATGTTTCGTATCGTATTATTCTGGCCGATACCTCACCATATTTCGCTTTCGAATGTTTTGCAATTCAAACAACTTTGTTTTTAGCTGGCTATATCTGTTTTAGGAGGCCAATCAATCCTGTCATTGATTACTTATTGAATGTCGCCTTCGTGACTGTAAGATGGGACTCACAGCCACGGCTTTTGGTGCTATCTAAGGAAATCTAAAAGGAAAGTTGCACAAAACACTGTATTACTATTTCATCCGAGAGCTCACGGACAAATATTTTGCAGATGACACCAATACAGAAGCTGGCCGACCCTCAGTTGAGCAAATAAAGTGCTCACTTTCATTCTGTGAGCTTCCATGCATGAAGCTGGTTCGAAATCACGCCACAGGCCATTTGGGTGGTGAAACATCTTTGCCGAAAATAAAGGACCAGTGGGCATGTCAAGTTCAGTTTGGAAGCATCCTGAGCGATAGAGCCATGTACGATTATCAACGGTATGTTGTCACCAGTTAGCAAGGAGAAAGACAATCTTCATTTCGATTCACGTAACTTTACGTTTTCACCCACATGTTGTAACTCTTATCTACTCGAGCCAAAAAAATTTAAACCTTTTCCCAGATTGAATATAACTAACAACGAACTTGGCTGAATCGATTTTGTCATGTATCGAAATTACAAATCATTCATTTGGCCTAACCGGTGCTTTTTATCAACAGTGGAACACTTTTAGTCCATTAATTCACTGACTGTTTTCGGAGCTGCTTGGAAACAATGATTTCAATATTGCCCCCATTTCTGCGATATAAGGGTGTCTTAATATTAGTACTGTTTCTAAACCTTAGTACATTCAAGCGGCTATAAGCTCCATACTGAAAATCACGGTATAATTCAGGTGTTCAGACGAAATCTTTAAATAAAACGGTAGGCAGATGGGGCTCAGGAAGGGAGCACATTTCCGCCAAATGATAATGCCTTCTAGGTCAGATGTCCCAATAAAAAGCATTTGGCCTGAAGGATATCCAGTTTCCTGAACTGGTTAATGTGCTGGCAAAACCATACTTTTCTTACAAAGCCTTCTAAACTGCCGGGAGTACCTCTGCATAACGGTGAAATTCGATAGGTAATAGATGAAAAAGAGGCAGCATAATTGGGACAGTGCCCTGTCCAGATCATGACCATTAGGAAACCCGAGGGATTTTGACGAAGTTATTTTAAGATGAAGGGAAGAATGGGAAGACCATGTCCGACACGCGTTCTTGTAAACCAGAAAACTGTTACGGGGAAAATCCCGCGGTGAATTGCGTTGCCAACACAGCTACCGTTATTCCAGTGAATTGGCTCTGATTTCAGAATCATCCGGACTACTCGCGAGTAGACGGAATACAAAGGCTTTTTGAAGTCTGCCAGTCTCAACGACGACCCTATTTCGATGCACGCGGTCACTGGGACCTACCATAGTGAATCGTTTGGTTACAAAAAGAATCCAGACAGCTCCGCACAATCATACTCATATCCAGATTTACAAAAATTCCTCACCTATCTTGGTTAATGATCTGCACACAGTGAGAGTAGTAGTAGTCTTACCCATGTTTTTTTCACAGTGCTATGCGAATGCGAACTCATTTGCAAACCATCTTCCGAGCCGACAAACAAACAAACGCCTTACGCATGAGAAGAAATGTATTGAGTGTTGCCAAATCTCGCCACATTACCATGGACTAACTAGCAGCTCAGAGGAAGAATCATTTCACTGAATGTGTGGAACTTCCTTGTGAGAAGCCGTCACTCGGGAAGCCAGTCAATACGTCATCCTGTAATGTGGCTTCCAGTACAGAAGCATGAATGGTGCTATGTCCTGTCTAAGTGAGAGCCAATCACATCGCTGATAAAATACTCATGGTCAAACGGTTAGGCGTTCAACCACGAAGTTTGCGGGTGCGAAACTCTCTGAGTTACGTGGGATGCGTGCTGTTGATGATTACCAAGAAGGATGAAAAAGCTGTACAGTGCTTCCCGGATTTCAGCATAGCTTGGCTTCACAGACAGAGTGAAACCTCAGTTGGACATTTATTCATGCTAATACTCCAAGAGGTAATCAGGGTGTTAAACTTCTTAACTAGCTTCAGGTTTGATAGCCGCCCTTTGAGAATCGAACAAAATTAAGTTGAAAGAACAAAATATATACTAAATTCCAAGACTGCGTAATGGCTCTGTAATCTGTTTCCAGCGCAACTGATTCAACAGAAACGAAAAAATGAGAATATAACGCTCCAGAGACATTCCTTCTGTTATTCTACTAGATTTGTGCACAAATATATTGAGCAATCAAAGATCAAGCTACCAGCAAGACTACTTTAGATTACGGAGCATATGTTTTTTTCTACAAATATCTTAAAGCATGTGGTTTCGGTGTGTCTTAGTACATCTAGAAAAAGAATTCCATGTAATTTCGCTGTTTTCCCTAATTTCTCTTGCGATGTGTCTATCGTGTTAAAAACGCACTTACTTTCAGGGTGCCTTAAGAGTCTTCAGTGGGGTACAAAAGGTTATAAACAGGATTTTGATTACTGTTCCATTCGCCGAGTTTGACAATGCAATCCAGCTGTCAAAGCTGGGGGCTACTTATATTCTACATCGCTAACTTGAATTTTTTTAGTTAGTTTTTTATGTTATCATCCGAACCAGGAGGAGTAACTTTTTCATCATCACTAAACAGTGCTCTGTCCGGTTAGTTCTCCCAAGTGACGCGACCCTCTGCGGTCTTTAGTATCTCCTGCTTTTAGATACTGTACCAGCATGGGATCATCTTCATCTCTCTATTTCATTAAATGAGAGGCGAATTTCAAAATTCGTAGATATGGTTTATACATGAGTGGGAGCCTTTTAGCTTCGATGTACCGGCTCTCTCACTCGATGTAGCCATCATCGGTCCTCTTTTGGTTTTCTTAGCCGTTTACTTCTTGGTTCCTTGTCATCTTGTTAAACATATTCTATTTAATAGGATAATAATACATCTGATGCTATTTTGTCGCCTATTTATTAGTTAACCCAGCATCTCGTCTCAAGAGCATATCATGACATTAAACTAAACTGGAGATCAGTAACTTGACCGACCTCGTCGTAAAACTTACCCAAGGATAACCCTTAGGTAACCCTTAAAGTCGGTTTCAGACTCGCTGCATCGTATGTTTAACGCTGGCCTATGAAAACCCAACATTTGTTCATCCTAATTGTCAGAACAACAGTGTGATTGAAAACGAAATTACGCGCATTGAAGGGTTCTCGAATTCCGAGTGAGAAAAGGATACTCATGGAAGCCGCAATTTCAGAACTATAATAACCTGACTGCACGCGTTTCGACCGAAATTGTCCTATAGTTCACTCCTCCTAGCCCGATCAATAACAACATACCTGTGTAAATTTTTGACACCAAAAAATTCAGGCGACCGTGCCAAGTGTGGGTGGGTGCGAGATCACTGATTGCGCTATCGTCCTTTTTCCACTCGTGATGAAGTCACGTTTCCGTAGATTGCAGATATGTGAGCATACATAACACACGTTCGCACCATCAAGCTGTTTTTAACAGGTTCGCAACTTCTCGTGGGTGTTAACTCTAATCGTTGGATGATTCAGTTACAGCAGTTATCGCAGGTAGAAGAAACTTGAACTAACCTGGATTCTCTTCCAAAATGGCGTGAGAACAAGTAGTCCAATTGTAACCGGGGTAAGAGGTTAAGAGCACCGATTTTATCCATTACATTATCGGCCCCTCCTACCAACCTTCGGCAACCAACGGTTGTTCCAAAATTCGCTTGCGCTCTTCCAAAATGGAGTAAGAACAAGTAGTCCAATTGTAACCAGCCAATAATTAAAACGTTCACAAAAGATGTGGTTGTTGATAAAAAGGAAAACAATAACGTTCGCTTCCCGAAAGCATTCTGAATGATAAAAAAGTATCAAAAAATTATCGCGGAAGCAAAGAATAGGGGGTTCGGTAATCTTTCCTACTGCATGCACAGTTATACCGCGAACTGGACAGCAATATAAGGTGTCAAGCAAAAAAGAATAAGAGCAGATTTGTTTTTGGTCCGAAACTATATGAACTGTACAGGGAGATAATTGTGCGAAATTCGGTGCGAATGAGATCAGGCATTTCGTAGTCAACGTGGGACGGTTTCGCGAATGGAAGACTACATTCACCCATGAACGGATCGTTAGCCAAATAACTGAGCAAAACACTGATGACAATAAGGTTTGCTCGAATGCTCTTTAAATGTTCCCGTTTGTAAAGTCTGAAGGCAGTAAGCACACTTAAAATGTTCAGGATGGTATCGACGTCCAAGAGCATTGACACAACGACCTGTTATCGGTTTCGAACATGCGTAGCATAACAGTCCTCGACGTTGGTAGAAGTGTGCTTCACAAAATGGATAGCCGTCCACTTCGTGAAAGTTAGATCCTGACAGGGATTTTCCGCAGTCCTATTGCGAGAAAAAAATCAGAAAATAGTTAAGCATAATCTTTTCTTTTGCAACCAAATTTCACTTTGATTAGGCCCTTATTCAGTTCGTATTTCCTCAATTTTGTGCTCAAAAATGATTAATTTGTTTCCATCCAACACCCTACCACAAGAACCAAGTTGCAAACTCCACAGCAATCGGGTAAACTGACACAGACCAAACCTTACCAAAAATCTAACGAGATTACACCTTCACGAGATTCACTATATTCCTTCATCCTGAGAAGTAGTGGCAGAAATGAAAAATTGTACTACAAATTACTTATGTTGACTGGAGACTTCTAAGCCTTGTTTAGTCACGATTATTCACAAAGCATACGCATTCGATCCAAAGCACACCCTTCTGTTAGGTGAGCAGTAAAGATCTACATCCAGCTTAGGATGGGTTGTCCCTGACCGTCGCCACTTACATGCGAACGGCATTCAGTAGTTGCGCAAAACCATGTTGGAGATAAACAATAAAGATGGCCATACCGATTTCATTGGACAAAGGAGATATAGGCGACTAACCTGACAGACGAAGCAAGCTCGATGCCAGGGCACGTCCAGAGCGGTGATGTACGAATCTGTGATAGTCCGATTGCAGCCACTGCATCGAGTACCGAAGCGTTCGAGATAGCATGCACTTGAAAAAAATGTAAAGATGATGTTAAACAAGTCAAACTGTCGTATGGAATGGGGATAATTTTGAATCAGGGCGCGTTTTGAGCGGCAGCTGACTTACGGGCAATATACTCTGTTCTCATGCTCGTGTACAGTTACTTGTCCTGAGAAGCCACGGTAGCAGCCATTGCAAAAAAAATGTTCTGGGTGCCACGTTCGACCCAAGGCGACGATGCATTTCTGCGAAATGGAGGGTGAATCCGAGAAGAAGTCGAAAAAATGACCAGAATACTTTATGAGAAACGATATCGTATGGATTTTGTTAGTCATCAGTGGTAGAGTTGTTTTGCCCGTAAGAGACATGAGATCGACCAATTTTATGATTCGATAATACCTCTGTTGAGTTTGTAACGCCCACCCCCGATGGTACATGTAGCTCGGTAAGCGTTGTTATATGACCAAAGATAGTCTTCAGAAGAATTTTTTATCATTTATTTATCAAGCTCCTTCTTTCTTAGTTTTTCTTGACCTGAATGATGGAAATGGTACTAGTTACACGATTGCACAGAAGTAACGCTTCACATAAGTGAAATGTTTGAAACTGTTCCACACCAGCTTGGTCCATATGAGAAGCAGTTTGAGAATTCTTTCTGAATGAAATTTCTATTTACTTTGTAAGATGAAAAACCAAGGGATTTTCGGATGCAAGTCTAGTACATGAACTATGGAGGTCAAGGTTCTTCCAGCCTCTGGGCCCCGAAAATGTGTCTTGGGCTATCGGGGTTTCAGATCAGGAGCTGACGATATGTAAATCCAACTCTCAACATCTTATTGTGAATATGCTGAAAACAACGCGCCAGTCAGGCCTCATGGACCTGCATTGAAAACTTGAGGTGCAACTGGACACCATTTCCCAAGGACCAAAACAATCAATTTCGCGCGGCACATTAGAGCTGATCTGGCACTAAAGTCTCATGGAAAGAATCTCCAGGTAAGTGTCAAAGTACGAAATCCATAATTTAGTCATTACAGATTACCAAGTACTGGTACACTCTGGTTCAGCTTGAAAACTCTCCTAGCTTACTCATCTTCATTTCCAATAGCAAACGAATTGGGTCGAATGGCGAATGACAGATAAGACATTTTTACTTTACATATCGGAAAAGATTAACTTCTAGGATGGCAGGCAGAACAAATGTAGGGAAAGGATCCCGTGAGCTCACGTTGTATGCACATACCAGCAAGATTTACGTGAGTTCTGGAACCAGAAGTAAGGGTGAAAATAACTACTGAGATGCGATTCATCTGTCTACCATTCATAAGACGAAACAGTTGTTTTTTTAGTCTCTGGGGTTGATTTGCGCGATCAGCTCATACTGAAGGTTCACTGACCTAATGGATTACTCAGTGTGATGCCAAGCGACGATGTACACGAGTTCATTTGATCAGGATATTTGCTCTGTGCTTCACGTTGACATTAAGTGACCTAAGTTGTTAACATTTTCACCATAATGTGGGGGATAGTACTGCCGGATGGACAGGAAGCTTGAACATTTGCTGTGAAAGCCAACACGGATCGCTTGGGATAATGTAACGTCGCCGTAGATGGGAATAAAATTGGCACGTATTCTACGTCAACCTTAAAAGGTAGTGTCAACCACGTGCGGCGGCAGTCTCGGATTCTTTCGTCTACCTCCTCTCTCCACAATGTGCTGTTGAGGTAAGTCAAGTTAATTTAACCAAGACTTCGGTCAGTGAGGGAGAAAGAGATGAAAAAAAGAGAGATAAGATAAGCCAAACTTTCATGGCTGTCTTCTGGTAGAAAACTTGGATGCTTCGAAATGGGACTCATGATACGTCGTCACAATTCTGTGGGTACGAAGTCACCAATAGTCTGTCTGAATAAGATTGACAAAAATGGCATAGCGAAATTTAGATTGCAACGTGTCAGTCATATACTAAAACGATACAATTGCTGTCTAGACGGAATTTGACAGTCTGAGGATGCCTTAACTAGCTTATATGTCAGTAAGACAAGCGAGCGCCGACCAACTGGACGTTGGGAAGTGGTTGCTGAGAATTGGTCAAAACAACAAAAAGGAGATATTTCCAGATGATGTGATCTGATTAGATAGATAGATGTTGCAGAACTGGAGGTACCGTGACTACCTCTATTCACCAATCTAACTTGTTTCAGTGTATCAAGACAAATATGTGCCATAATGCACATCCGAGCGCATTTGTGCGTATATGCGCGAAATTTACCAGAATTGTTACTTTCTGTTATTCCTGGTAGTGCAAACTCGATACCCTGGTATACAACCTCAGACACAGGCTAATCAAAAATGGGAAAGGTCAGTAGTCGAAGAAAAAACTAACCTCCAGGATAGCCTCCCCACAGTTGGCGCACTTCGGAGAAAAAAGCCTGGCGTGGCAATCGGTACAGTATGGTTGGCTGTCTCTCTCGTAAAAGTTTGCTCGAACAAGACCGACTCCGCAATTTGTGCAAGTAAAGTGGTCCGGATGCCAATATTTGTCCATGGCAGAAATAAGCTAATCGTCGTGGAGGAAATAGTCAAACGTTGAAAGTTGAAAGTGCACAACAGACAGTGAAAATAATGTAAGTTTAACGGCGGACCTAGTTTGGGAACTTTCAAATGTTTCGATAGACCGGGGTGGCTTTTTCAAAAAACGATGGGGGTTGACGAGACGTCCAACGGTTTCGATAATTAGCTGAATGAGTAACTCTGGAAGCATTCACCATGAACCATTGACTCTTGGTACACGTTAGTAGCTTTAAGTCATGTTTTATCAAGGTGGATCTCATAAAACCCATAGAGAGGGAAGGATTTAGAAGCAGCAGTCACTTCCTTTCACTTTCCGACCTGGCTCGTAGGGTATGGATATTAGTATAGTAATGCTTCTCAGAGGGAACACCCAAAAGAATAAATGAAGCTGACCGCCGAAGTTTTGTTGAAGTAAACACACATATTAAAGAACAATCGATGTTATATTCCAGGTTCACTTCAGTTGGTGATGGGCAAAATAAAAAAGCCATTTGTTAGAGGTAGTTGTTTTCCAGTGTTTCTTGTACTCACAAGTTGGCGGAAGGTCCTCCTCAACTGCATCTCAATCGGGAAATATGGTGATGAAATAGAAAGCTACGCTAGAACTACTATCCATTTAGTCGTAGGAAGGTTTGATTTGTGGCCCGAGTCAATGTCAGAGCCTTCAGGTGTCTCTCTTGCTGATAAAGGGAAGAGTAATCGATCCGAAAGACGTTCAGGTGTTCCCAGGACTTGTTAGCATTAGACTGGTTTTGCTGGGCTATGCAGATTACGCTGAATGATTCGACCGAATTGATTCAGAGGTCTGAAAGCAGCAGGTGACTGGCGATAACACCTGTCATTTGTTTGGCCGCTCCAGGTTTTCGGCAACTTGATAAATACTTCTTGATTCTCTGAGATGAGTGCTCTGTCTATTGATCCATACAGACTTCGGAATAGTCACAAGCAAATGGATATATAAACACATGAACGTCAGAAACTGACAATTTATCCGTAATGAGTAATTGTTTTCTGTCGAAATGTATCCCCACCTGGCTATATTGGACTGTCGCCTCCGGCAACTCGTCAGATTTTCTGAGTCTGTGTCACTCTTAAACGACAACTGTTGGGCCCCTTAATCCTTCTAGCGGATGCTAGCTCCTCATGCGAGGTGTTTTGGTTAAACATCTCCCATAGGACTTCTCCAGAGAAACCGCAGTCCAGTATCCTGTCTGTCCTTGTATATATGAAGGGATCTGTGGTCCAGACTTCTTACGAAGTTCTCATATTTCGTGCTCACGAAACTAAGAAAATTGATGTACTGCCCAGCCTATGCAAGTTTTCCAGGCACCATACTAGGGGTGGATCATTCTGGCTCTTGGTCAATGAAACGCCAAGGAACTAGAGGACACCACAGGATTCGCCTTTCCCGGGAAAAAGCAGTATCAGGTAGACAGTGTCAAAAGAAGTTTTTAGCCCTAGAATTGAAGTTTGGGAGATAAAGGTAATAGAAATACCATAAATTAAGAGATGGTAAATATCCTAAGGCTGGTTTTAGAACTTCGTGTTCGCGTTTGTCGTTCTAGGTAGAGGTTTGGATGGGAACGAGAGGAGGGCTGATTTCTACTTCATATCTTTGTTGGTGAGTAATACCATTGAACAAGGAATGTTCTCAGTAGTACAGCCTTAAACTTGTTCTCTAAAGTCTCAACTGAATAATGGATTCGAACAGAAGCGCACCAACAAATAAGAAAGAAGTATCTAGTGAACACAGATTTTGGATAGCTTCGAAGTACTAGAAATTTTCCTCGAGGCTATTTGTGCATACTTGTTTGCGGACGGGTTCAAGGAGCACGTTTAGCCACCGATGGTGGACGGGTGGTTTTGTGCAATTATTGTAGCCTATGTATACGGGTTTCGGTGAATATCACTGAGCTTACACAAGATGGCAACCATCTTTCAGGTTATCTGTGCTTCATCTTTTTTTCTCCGATTTTACTGAGCGTTTTTTCTCCATAAAACAGACCAGCCAGCGACACTACTCCGGATCTTCGATTTAGACATGATGGAATGATTTAGATTCTATGATGTAGGCCTTTCAAAGCTTGTGACTGATGTGTTCAAACACACCCAAACTTCATCTCAGATTGCAGTATAGAGCACCTAATATGAATCCCTATTCCCCTTTGCTATTCCATGGTGCCACTTTCCAGGTTACATTTTAGAAGCATGAGTACGAAAAGCACTGTAAGATAACACCGAAGAGATCAGGTAAACAATTACTGGAACGTTTCAAAAACTAGACTGGGCCATGCACATTACGCCACCGGAAAGTTCACTCTCCGGGGAAGCCCTAAATGTCAACTGCCAAACTACGCTTAGGCAACATGTTGTGATATGAAGAGACCTTGTGGTCTTGAAAACAAGCGTTTTTTGAAGGGGATGACAAGGATCAGTGTTCAATCGGATACGCAATGATTACTTCCAGCTCCCACCTTAGTGTATTCAGCATCACCGGAAAACAATGTTTTCGAAAGGGAACAGACTACTCGCACTTGTTGAAAACTCTTAGTTAGCTCACGATCGGTTTCGTCCTTCTTGAAGCTCATCAGAGAGGCGTAGTCCACGAATTTCCGGCAGTCTTATGTGCGCAATTCGTGAAGTCATTTGCGCAATAACTTGTTTTTTGGCGGAGGACTCAAATCTGGTACCGAATGAAACAGGAGACAGCCTTGTGCATTCAGTTGAAGAAAACTATCAACCAGAGATTTAGTCGGATTCATTTGGGTTCCCTATCAGAATCGAATTGGCATGCAAATGAATGTATTTCACGGAAATGATACTCGGTAAGAGGGATAATGGCTTGAGCAAATAGGTTGCACATTGGCATTGTTACCAACGTTCGGAAGCACCACATCTAGGTCGCCTATCTGTGTTAGTCAAGAAAAACGTAACTGTTTGCTGTTGTCCCTGGTGGACCGTTGAATCTGACTTTGAAGATTAGGCCCGAAAATTCGAAAAAAAATCGTAAGGGAATCAGTCCATGTAACTGAAAGTCACTTCCAAAACAGGGGGGGGGGCAGTTTACTGGCAAACTTCGTCCTATCTCATGTTTGCCGTCACGAAGAGACTGGACCTTACCGTGGTGTGACGGTTTGCGCACCTCAGCGATCCATTGAGCTATACTGGAGAGTGTCTCGCGACACTCACAGAGCCTCTCATACCAGGCTGGTCAATGGTTAGAGGTCTGACGAACACAGTCTCCTGGCCCTCCAGGTTGGGGGTTG